CCCCAAAACCCCAAAACCCCAAAACCCCTTAGATTAAAATGATAAACAAAGAAGAGTATTAAATATATTTGAAAATGGACAAAATTATAATTAATGACATAATTTGCAAGATCAGAAGATGCATAATTTATCTCAATTCATATGAGATGTATATCTCGAAAGCATATGAATATACTAAATTTCAAAGTTGAATATAAAAAATAAAGATCTTACTAGGTAAAGGATAGTTAGTAGAGTAAAACCAAGATTGACACAATAAATAGATTTGATAACATTGGCAAAGTTTAAATAATTAACAAAATTTCATCTTACCTTATGTTTTAAGAATTTGGCTGTAAAAATAGGATCCATAATGTTCCAGAATGAAAAAAAAAACATGGTTTTACGATTACTAATCCTTATCTGGAGGCAAAGTTACAATTTCCTATATAAAAAATGCGGACCAAAAAAATGGGATGATCAATAAAGTGAATCAAGGAAGACAGAAGAAATAAACCTGTTTATAATAAAAAATTACAAGGTTGTACTTAATTAGCAATATAATTACTAATATAATACTGAAAAAAATTCTGCACTACACATCTACCAGAAAATAAAATGTTCATTCATCAGAATATAAAAACAATACATTAGCTAAACATCTAAATGGCACAAAATTACAATTATATTTCAAATTATACAAAATAAGGTTAGTAAAAACTAAAATTGCATGATCTCAGATAGTCGAATAGTTAATATAGATGAAATCCAGGACATCAAGGACATTATACTTTGTGGAATATGCTTTCAAGTTTTATTTGTTCTCAATGTATTTCGTGGTGTGCTAAAGCCATCTATAGCTGTCCATATTGCCATTCTTTCAATTCTCAATTCGTTGAAATCACTCCTCTGCTTCTAAATATTATCAGAGGCATAAGATACTCCTGCTTGTATAAAAGCAAGGGTTATTAGGATACTTACTCAATGAAAACTTCAATGAAACATGAGTTTCAATGTAACTTGGGGTTGAAGAAACTGATAGTCAACATAAATTATCTAAATGTGCTTTTTTGTAGTAAAGCACCTCAAGCAATCTAGACTATTCAAAATATAAGAATAATAGCACTTAATTAATATAATGACTACTTTGATGAGAATTAATCTTAATTGCAATAGCAATTCAATTCCAACGAATGAAATTTTGTGAGGGAGTTGAAATAACTTGGAGTTATAGGCATAGAGAGATTGGTATGAGAAATGACGAAAGTAGAATAGCAAATTTAGAGGAGAATCAAAGATACCATGAACTGTTCTAATGCATTTCTTTTTCAATGACTGCTTAGAAATCCATAGACATGTAATACCTGTAAGATAATCTTCTGCAAGCACTTTATCTAAAACCAGCTGATATAGAAAAATACTTGTCCCACATCTTATCAGCCAAATCCAACTTACTCTAAATTACCTAGAAATTTGATGCTACTTCTAAGAAAATTCAAGATCTTCTGCAAAAATAAGGAAGATGGCTGCAATGATTCATTTGTTAAGATGAAGATAGGATTAATAAGAGTAGTAATCTCAATTGTAATTTACAATCTTCTACACTACAAGAATAAGACTCATAATTAACAAAATATTAAAAAGCATAAATCCTCGTTTTAATACGAAAAAGTTCTTATTCTTTGCTAATGTATGTTTTTGATGGAGTATGGAAGAATTAAAAGGAAAAGAAAAGACATTAAGTAAGCATGATATATTATAGATGATCATAAAGATAGTTAACCAAATATCCAAAGATTGTTACAGCTTATTTTAGAGATATTTGATTTCATTACTTAATTATTATTTTGAATTATAAATATCAAACAATTATCAACTAACATGTAACTTTCATATTTTCTCCATACGGGGTTTTGGGGTTTTGGGGTTTTGGGGAGATCGGAAGAGC